GTTGATCTGGTGGGAGCACTCAATGGTCCTTCTTCTGCATCATCGGCTTCATCTTCATTCTTGTCGCTGTCGTGAACATTTGTGCTTTCTGCAAAACTATCAAAGTTTCTTGGTCTTCGTCCAGATGGTGTTGGTATCCAGCAAGATATTCTTCTTCCTGCAGTCATTTATCCACAGGGCCAATGCAGACTCCATCCTCACAATGGCCTTATTGAGGGAAGTGACCGCCGTCTTTGCAGTCTTGTTAAAAGTCATTGTTGCCATAGACCTAATATTCTTCTCATCTTTCTTTACGTATTAAACAGTAGATTCATTGATCCTGTAATGGTGGCCTACAGCTGTGTAGCTTTTGCCTTCCTTTAACATGTCGAGAAGTTCCACCTTCTCTTTGATGGTAAGCATATTCCTCTGGAGCTTGGGTTCACTGCCAGAAGACTTAGAAGGCGCAGAACATTTGGGTGGTATCACAGGGCTTGAAATAAATTAAAACTTTTACGAAAATTTCACAAAAAAACACAACATCACAGAGCAACACTACATGCAGCGATCAGACGTTGATGTGAAGTGGACAAGGAGAGATGCTGAACATATGGGCACAGTGCGGGAGAGCAAACAGACTGATGCTATGGTCACTGAGCCAATCGGCGCCCAGGATACAGAACACAGTGCTGTGGTTGGTCACCTCCCATTCTATCAGCCAACAGTATGCTGTGTACAATCTCACATTGGCAAACTTGCGCAAGTGGTAGTGGCGTATTGTATTTCCATTGTGTACAGTATGGTATTTATCCGCTGATGAAATAGATACTGTATTTTATTTCAATTTAATATTCTTTTAATATGTTTGAATTAACATTTAAATATTATTGTTTTAAGTATTTTAGGCAAAAATAGTTAAAATCATAAATATTATATAAATACCTATATACTGCAAAATCCTGTGCTAGAGAAAACTCCATGATACAGAATTAGATATTTAAAAAAACTCACAACACAGTGAAGCCACACTAATTGAACCGCGATACAGCAAGGGATGACTGTATTCTGAGATGAGAATGTTCCAAGTGTGCTTAAGAAGAATGTGTATTCTGTGACTTTTTGATGAAGTGTTCTATATACATCTGTTAAGTACATATGGACTAACATGTCATTTGAGGCAGATGTTTCTTTACTGACTTTGTTTTTGTTTGGATGATGAAAGTCAGGTATTAAAGTCCCCAACTATTTACTGTATTGTTGTCTATATCCCCCTTTATGTCTGTTAATATTTACTTTATATATTTAGGTGCTCCTGCTTTGGCTACATAACTGTTCTCTCAGATGTTCACTAACTTCTTTCAAGTCTTCTCTCAAAACTTCTGAGGTCTACCTGATCACTCTTTAAATGCTGCAACCTGCCCAACCCACATGCTCCCACACACTTGTCAAATCCCCTTACCTTAGTTTATTTTTTTCCATAGCATTTACTTCCTAATATATAATTTACTTATTTACGATGTTTATTATTTTACTCCCTCTTTTCAAAAGTAAATTCCAAAGATATGACTGTTTGTTTTGTTTACAGATATATCCCAACTGCCTGGAACATTATAGGTGCTAAGTAAATACTTGTTGAATAAATAAAGAAAAAGGTAGAGTTGACTTCCAGCCAAGATGGAGGCATAGGTAGACACACTGTGCCTCCTTGTACAACCAAAATAAGGACAACAACAATTCAGAAATAAAACAACAACCAGAACTGACAGAAAATTGAACTGTATGGAAGTCAGACAACCAAGGAGTTAAAAGATAGACACATTCATCCAGACCAGTAGGAAGGGTGGAATCGGGCAGCCAGGCGGAGAGGTATTGCAACACAAAGAGTGGTGGTACTGGGCGCACAAGGTAGCAGCTGACAAACCCCGGGTGTGTAAGATGGCAGCAGGCGGACCCTGGGTGCGCAGGTGGCAGCTGGCAGATCCCAGGTGCGTGGTAGCAACGAGCAGACCCAGCGAGGAAGTGACTGTGAAGTGAAGCATTGCACACAAGGCAGCTGGCTGACGAGGCAGTCCCACATTCGAGTGCAGATGAACCAGGTGGCACTGGGGAGGGAGACAGACCACTCAACCCAGGGTCCCAATAAAGCCTTAAAACACCAACTAAAAATATCTGTGGGGATTGAGGCATAAGGAGAAACTCCCAGCCTCACAGGAGAGTTCACTGAAGAGACCCACTGGGTCCTAGAATGCACAAAAGACCACCCATCACAGGAATCAGCACCAGAAAGGCACAGTTTGCTTGGGGGAAGTGGCAGAGGGGACTGAGATCTGACAGAGAGCAGAGCAAGCACCACTATCCCTTCTTGAACCCCACCCCCACATACGGCATCACAACCCAGCAACTGGGTTGCCCCACCCTAGGCAACCTCCAGAACATCTTTAAATGTTCCAAGATCCAAATTATAGGGGAACCAGAGGGGAAAAAGAAGAGCAACAAGTGGAAAAGCTATTTGAACAAATAATGAAGGAGAACTTCCCCAATCTGGCAAAGGAAATAGACTTCCAGGAAGTCCAGAAAGCTCAGTCCCAAAGAAGCTGGACCAAAGGAGGAACACACCAAGGCACATCATCATTACATTAGCCAAGATAAAAATGAAGGAGAGAATCCTAGAAGCAGCAAGAGATAAGGAGACAGTAATCTACAAAGGAATACCCATCAGACTGTCAGCTGATTTCTCAAAAGAGACCTTGCAGGCAAGAAGGAGCTGGAAGGAAGTATTCCAAGTCATGAAGGGCAAGGACCTACATCCAAGATTGCTTTGTCCAGCAAAGCTTTCATTTAGAATGTAAGGGCAGACAAAGTGCTTCTCAGATAAGGTCAAGTTAAAAGAGTTCATCATCACCAAGCCCTTATGATATGAAATGTTAAAGGGACTTAGGTAAGGAAAAGAAGATAAAAAGCATGCATAGTAAAATATCAGCAAACTTACAATTACTAACAACCACACCTAAAACAAAAACAAAAACAAACTAAGCAAACTAGAATAGGAACAGAACCACAGATATGTAGATCACATGGAGGGTTAGCAACAGGGGAGTGGGAGGAGGAGAGAGGGGAAAAGGTACAGAGAATTAAGTAGCATAGACAGTAGGTAGAAAATAGACGGGGAGGGTAAGAATAGTATGGGAAATGTAGAAGCTAAAGAACTTATGACATGTAGACATAAACTAAAGGGGAGGAATGTGGGTGGGAGAGGGTGTGCAGGGTGGATGGGAATGGGGGGGGAAATGGGACTGTAATAGCATAATCAATAAAATATATTTATAAAAGAAAAAGAGTTAAGTTTACTAGTATTTCTTTAACATAATTAACCTAAAAAAGTTAAGAAACTATTCTTTAATTAATAAATCATAGCATGCAAAAGGTGCTGAAGTTCCTGATAAAGAAATGCAAAATTCTATAATTTGGACTTTATTCATCTGGCACCGAATCCTCTTCCTTCAAACAGGGCCACTGAGTATGGTTAAGTAGGTTGTAAATTGAACAAAGATACCAGGTAGGGAAAGAAGAGAGGCCAAAATTCATTAGGCTAAGACCACAAAGAAATGGGGTAGTCTTTGTAATATGCACAAAGGCAATGCCAGTATCCCCGGTTTTAAATAATCAAACTTAAAAAATTTAATAATGTTTTAAATAAAATCCGTCCAAAATATATTAGATATTTCCTGGAAAAATAAGTGTGTTTTGCCCTGGGTGGTATGGCTCAGTTGGTTGGAGCATTGTCCCGTAGACTGAAAGGCTGCTGGTTTGATTCCTGGTTGGGGTGCATAGCCATGTTGTGGGTTCAGTCCCCAGTTGGAGTGCATACAAGAAGGTGACCGATCAAGGTTTCTCTCTCACATCAGTGTTTTTCTCATTCTCTTGATCGAAAAAAAAAAAAAAAATCAGCCCTGACTGGTGTGGCTCAGTGGATTGAGTGCCAGTCTGTGAACTTAAAGGGTGACGTTTGATTCCCAGTTAAGGCACATGCCTGAGTTGTGGGCCAGATGCCCAGTTGGGGGAATCCAACAGGCAACTGATTGATATATCTCTCACATATTGATGTCTCTCTACCTCTTTCTCCATCCTTATTCCTCTCTCTAAAAATAAATAAATTAAATATATATTTTTTAAATCAAAGGTTTAAATGTGAAATAAAAACAATAAAAATTCCAGAAGAAAACATAGGTAAATATTTACATAAATTTATAGCAAAGAGACTAAAGCGAGAAATCACATTTTAAATGTATAGCTTAAAAAAAAAAGCATAAACCAGAAGTTATAAAAATACTGCTTTAAAATATAAAATTTTGATTTGATAAAAGTAAAACAGGTTTGTAAGATAAAACTTGGAAATATGGAAAAAACATTTCCAACTCATAACAGAAAGAGGATTAATATCTATAGAGACAGGAAAGAGATTGGAGATTATCTAGGCCTGGCAATATCACTTTGATTACTATAAAACTGCAGTAAGTCTCATCAACTTGAATAAAAGCAATTACTTCCTCAAAATTGGTATGTCTATTATTACAGTGTGGCTGTAAACAGTTTGGATCATTAAAAAGCAGCTCACAATAACTTGTTTAATATTCATTTATTTGCAAATACAGAGGGGAAGGGGGGGACTACGGGGAGAAGGGTTTTCAGGAACTACTATAAAAGACACATGGACAAAACCAGGGGGGAGGGTAGAAGCAAGGGAGGGAGGTGAGTTTGGAGGGGGTGGGGAGAAAATACAGACAACTGTAATTGAACGATAAAATAATTTTTCAAATGTTGGGTAATTTTTAAAAATATTGATTTGCAAATAAACACTTTTATGTGAATGAAATATTAACTCTGACCTCTCATCCATTATGAATTCTAACTCATAATAAGATTTAAAAAAAGTATATCTACTTGTAATAGAGAATAAATTCTTTATGTATAGAGATCTTAAAAAGTCTTAAATACATGTTTTAAGATAGAAAAAGACTTACCATCCAAAATTTTATAAAGTACTGTAAAACTGTTGCAGCCACAAAAAGGCAATATAATAAGGAATACAATAAAAACAGCAGGAAGAATTTGTAGTTAGAAAATCCCACACAGTTATTCACCCTAGAAGAATATAGAAGGTCACACTGTAAAAATAAAGACAAATCCATAAATGCACAAAAACAAAAACTAGAATGTTGGCCAGGGTTCAGGGAGGGGAAATGAGAAGTTGTTTAATTTGGACAGAGTTTTGCAAGATGAAAAAGTTCTGAAGACTATTTGCACAGTGTGAACATAGTTCACACTACTGAACACTACAAATGGTTAAGGTGGTAAATTGTATGTTTTTCTTTAAAACCACATCAATAATAATAAATAAGACATTTCAAAAACCTTAATTATTATTTGGAAATGGGTCATTTGGGAAGTAGGGAGTATGTCTTAATTGTGGATATATGCTTTTAATAAATTCTATAAGGAATTTGGAATTTTTTAAAATTTTAATTAATTTTATTTAGTTATTTTTCAAGTACAGTTTTTTGTCTATTTCTCCCATCCCAGGGAATTTGGAATTTTAATGTTAATTCTTAATATATAATTATTTGGGTAAATAACACCAGACAATATTTTTTAAGGAAAACATTTAATATAAACATGTACATACATATATGTGTGTATGTGTGTGTGTATGTATATATATATGTATATATATATATATACACATACATCTTGTTGTATATGAATAACTAAATTGCCCTTGAAAATTTAGGAATGCTGAGGTTTACAAATCACTTTAAATTCTCTCCTTCCTGATTCCCCATCCCAATATGTGACTTCTTGTATTTTTATACATACCAAGGACAGTGATGATCCATCTTAAGAATACATCTAGAAAACAAATAAGCATAAGAAAATCCATGCAGAATATTATTGTAATTCTAACTGCAGATAATTCTCCTTTTTACAAATACATCTTGGAAAAACCAACCCAGTAAACAGTGGATTAGAGAAAATTTCTGATATTTCCACCAACGTTTTCATAGGTTAGACATAACAATTTTTTTTATACTGAGAATTCAGCTGAGCATAGACAGTTGCCTTGAACTATATCAAGTGACATTTTAATATACAGATATGGTGCATAGAGCACTTGGTACGTTAGCTAGTCCAACTCACAAATCAGCTGAAGGAAATAAAGTGAAATACAGATAATCTCTATTTTAAATATGTGCAAGTCATAAAAATAAAACTTTAGAAGCAACTGTGTTAAAATATTAACTCTCATGGGTTTATAGATGGTTATTTTCCTACATATTTTATAAAATTCTACACCACAGATAAGCACTACTATACTTTTACAATCAGAAAAAAAATCCCAAAATTTACCTCCCCACTGGTATATATAACCTATATATTTATAAAGTCAAACCACGGATCATCTCAAATAACATAACAAATGAGTAAACTAATAGCCAGAAGCTTAAGTAGCTTGTCTAACTCAAGTTCAAGGATTAACTGGGATTCCCAAACAAACAAGGGATCTTTCCTTCCACACATTACCTTCTCACAAGCACATAAGAAATAAAATCTCTGAAGTGTTTCTAGGAACAATGTTAGAGGTGGAAATTGAAAAAACATTTTTGTGTGTGGTTTGTTAGGTTTTAATATCAACAATAATAATAAAAAACAAGAAAATTGTCATTTTGGTTTTTTTAATCTAGGAAAAAATATTCTTAAAGGGGTTATTACTTGTTCATCAATATTATGTTAAGCGTAAACATAGAAAATATATTTAAAGAAAATTCCATCGACTACTATAGGAACTGTTATCAAAGACTACTCCCAAGTGTATTCTAGCTTATGGAAATATTTATGTTAGCCCACGTGTGTAGCAAATAATGGGAGAGGAAGAAGTGTTTTTTGCTAAGTATAAAGCATATAAAATGTTCCTTCCCCTTTTTTCTCCTGTCACCAATTTCCAATGCTGGGGTTAAAGGGAAGCAAATGAGGGTAACACTTACATGTCACATGCTGAGCAATGATGCGCACGGTCAGGTTTGATCAACTGACATCTTTCACAATACCTGATGGCTACATTTAAGAATTAAAAGTAAGTCATTGAGGATGTACAAGGTCAGTGAATTTGACTATAAAATTTGCTTTCATTTCTTTTATAAACAGCTCTGGGGAAGTTGACAAGTAGTAATCCTGTCATCAGGTTTGATACTAATTCTCCCACTGACTAGCTGGTAACCTTGGGTTAGCAATTTACTTTCTAAAAGCCTCATTTTCCTCTTCTGTAAATGCAAATTATACCAAGTATAATGAACTATTTTTCACATTAAAATGAAACCTAGAACATATAAAATTCTCCATTAAGCAGTAAGTATAATAAAATTACTATTTCTAATAAAATATAAAGTCAGACTCTATGATGGTAAAAGACAGTGAGGGAGAGAAAACCAGGGAGATTAAAAAGTGTACGAACAGCTGTAATGGAGAACACCCAGGAATAGATTTACGCCATAGATATCTCCTAATGCCTGTTTAGTGAAACACTGTGTTAGAGACCATGGGAGAACTCCTGGCCACCAGATGCTTAGATAAAGTTAATGAGGTGAGATGGACATTGCTAACTAAAAGGCAGTGACTTATATAGCCTACCAGGTAGAAATTTGAGATGTTCCAAGAAGACTTTTTAAATCAATTCTCGTTAAAAATGAACAGAAGCCGAATAGAGGTGGACAGTGAATTAAAACTTTAAACTGGATTTAGAGAGGAGAAAATAATCATTCCAGGCAGAGAAAAAGACACACACACAAAAAGTGGAGAAGGACACTGTGTTAGTGGAGTTGACATAAACAGTATGGGACAAAGCTGGAGATAATTGCTGGTTGAATCAAGACTGGAGGGAAGAAGGTTTATAAAGAGACATTTTGTTTCCCAAAGAGAGAAAGATATGTCCACATGGCTTGAAAAAGCACAAACAGGAATTCAGTGAGAAGATCCCACCCTGGTACTTGGGTCCCCAAATCCTGTCTGTGAAGGCAGCTCCATTACTTTCAGTGATCTCTAGTCTATAAAAGGTCGACTTTCTGTAACACGTATTCTGTAATTTTGTTCTTTAAAGATGAATGTGTAGTGCTTCTATAGTAAGAAAAAAGAAACAAAAAAGCCCCAGCATTTGGGATTCTAAGCAGTTGAAATCCAGTATAAAATGCTTCCCCAGAGCAGGACTTGCCAGTAATGAGAACATAAGGCACACGTCCCAGACCTGGCCATTGAGAATGCTGGGTACCTCACTGCATCCCACGTCTTCAACTCTAACATGGGGATAAGTGCAGCACCCACCTCAGAGTTATTCTGATGATTAAACAATCACCAATAAAGTGTTTGGCAGGATTCCTAGTGTAGTGTTCAATACATAAAGGTTACTGTTCAGATTAGAGGATAGCCATTATCAATAATGAAAAGTAGTAAAGCTTTAAGGGTGAAGGTTTTATATCATGCCTCCTAACTCTTTGGGGCACATATACTGCGATTAAAATCAGATGCTCTTGCTATGAATAGGTTACTTGAAAAATGACCCAAAACTTTGTGTATAATCTCAGGACTTCATAAATTCTCTGAAATCTTAGACCCTGGGTTAAAAATATCTAATCTGCAGAACTATAATTACTAACAATTATTGTAAAACAGAGCTTTCATAATTAAATATTAAAAAGGATTATTTTAAATTAGATATCATTTACTGACAATTTATTATGTACAAAGATCCATACTAAGTGCTTATCTCATTTATGAATCTCATTTAATACTTCCACTAACTCAGAGAGGTAGGTATTATTATCCTCATTTTAAAGTGAAGAAACTAGGGCTTAGAAAGTTTAAGTGACTCTCACTGTACTAGTCATGGAAAGTTGAGGTTTGATCTGAAGTCCATGTTTCCATTCCATATAGCAATATACCAGTTATGCAGAAAGGACAGCAATAAGTGCATAAAAAAATAAAAAACTTGGTCAAATATACCCTACAAAATCTTGTGCAAACTTTATACTTAAAATCTCACAATGTGTATCAAAAGGAAAGTACTTTTATTTTCCCTTGAAACTGACAAGCATGGTGGGTTCTGAAGCCAGAGTTCTTCAATGTAAACCTGTTTTTTCACATATATCTGTCTGACCTTGAAATAATTATTGAGAACTTAAGCCCTTCAGATCTCCGTTTCCTATTCTATAAAGTATAGACAACAGTATCATCCTCATAGGACTGTTGTGAAGTTTAAATGAGTTCATGTGCACAAAGCACTATGAACAGAATAATTGTTAGTTATTACTATTATCTAGCATTTGAAAGAATTAATGAGTTACATAATATATAATTTAAAACAATTTCCTGAATTTAAACGAATACTTTGTTGACTCATAGTTTCACCCCTATCATAAGGCTCTACCCTTGAGGAGAGGAAGCTGCTACAGCACTCACAGATCTCTCAATGGAGGCAGTGGGACAGGGGACAGACCAACAACTTTGGGACCACAAAGGCCTATGTTCAAATCCTGGCTCTCTGATATTAGCTTTATAACTCTGAACAAGTTTTTTACCACTTTGTGTCTTATTGTCCCTCTCCCTTTCAAGTCAGCACATTCTTGACTTTTAAAAAGTTACTTGGTGATGACACACAATATTAAAATTCAAAACCAAATTTCCAAATGATAGTTTACTAAGAATAACTGATACTTTCAGTCATAAACACTAATTTAGAAAAAAAAAGTATATGCAAAGAAAAGAGACTCACATTCAGGAGAGCCTCTTAAAAATATCTATCAATATATGTACACGTCTATATCTAAAATACCATAGAAGATACAAACACAGGGAAATCTTGTTCCTGCCCATGTTATTTGTGGAATCACAATATCCATAGTCAAATTGTGTAAATATATCTTGGCAGGAATGACCATATTATAAAAATTATTTGAGTAGGAAAGGTTAAGATTAGTTTTTCTTACTCCTTGAGCCTGACGTGGTATAGATAGGTAAGTCCCTGGCTGTTCTTCTCAAAATTTCTTGTTGTCGTTCTTGGCTGAATTCTTTTTCATAATGTTCCCTTTCAGAATTGGACAAGTAGAACTATAAAAGCAGAAATAATTATTAATTTTTTAATCCCATAATTATAAACTATTACACTCATAAAAACAAAGTTTATTCAGAATAGAAAAAAACCCAAAATTTTCTTTACAAAGGGAAAACTTTTCTGTGAATTTTTTAAAGAAGCTAAATCAAGTTCATTTTAATAAAATTTATACCTCACATATTAAAAATATTTTGTCTATTTAATAATAATAACAAAGAACATGAACTAAATATTTTTGCATCGTGTTTTTTTAAAGAGAAAATTCCTCCATCAAAAAGGTAATCAAATACATACTAGCTAAAATTTTGGTGTTTGAAAGTTAAATGTCAAGATTTTTAATTTTTGAAAAAATGTAGCTATTTGCTTTGGCTACAAGACTAAATCACAAACCTTGGGGTCCTACTATTTTCTGGCCAAATGTCCCAAAGAGTAACAGTCATTCTTTTACCACTCTGTTTTAGCTTTTAAAAAGCTAGCCAAATAGGAGTACTGTCTCCAGAATTATTAAGGATAGTCAATGCAAGCATAGTATCTTTTTCTCAAGCAGAGATTCCTTTATGGAGTTGTTTTTAGTTTTCATTTAAGTTTTTACTCCCATAATATAACCTGCATATAGTTCATCTCTTAAATAGGATTTTCCCTATGAAGGACTTCAGTTATTCTTCTTTTGATGTCATCTCAGTATGTAAGGAACCCAAGTTTTATGATTCTATTCCATGTAACCAGGAACTTTACGTTTCTGTTAGTCTTTATTTCACAAAAGTCTTTTATAACTAAACATGGCTTGAGACTTGCTTTTGACTATGATTTATATGTTAACAATACTGTTCCTCAATTTTTATTTACTTATACAGTTCTGCTCAAAAAGGCCTAAGGAATCATCTTTAGGCCTGGAATTTTATCTTTTTATATTTACATATTTTGGTCTACCTGTTAGCTCAAATACCAAAACTCCCCACACTTAAAAAATTTTTTTTTGATCTTCACCTGAGGACATGCCCATTGATTTTATAAAAAGATGAAGGGAGGGAGAGAGCGAGAAACATCAATGTAAGACAGAAACATCGATCGGCTGCCTCTCATACATGCCTTGATTGGGAATCGAACCCACTACCTAAGTATGTGCCATGACTAGGAATTGAATCTACAACTTTCCGTTTACAGGACAATGCTTCAACTGAACCACACAGGCCAGGGCTAAAATTCCATATATTCTTGATGACTTATCATCAACAACAGTATTAGCTTATCGATATAGCCTATTCTATTATAAATAAGGCATCAATTTGGCATAGAAGAAAGAGCTGTGGTTGAGGAAACTGATCCCAACAGGCTCAGGTTACTGTCTGAAACTGCACAATTACTGGCAGAGCTGATATTAAATTCAAGTCTTTTGGGTTCTTCTCTAGCATGTTTCACCCAGTACTGCTGATGTAAAATACATGCTGTTGCTTTTCATAGACTGTTGCTCTAACCAGACTGAAATACCACAATGTACAAAGTGGAAGAGTCTATTTAGGTTACCGGGCCTGGCTCCCTCAATCCAATCTTGATGGTACAAGCAAATCCCAAATTACTTATAAAAAACAAGAAGTTACATAGACAAAGAGGACAGAAAGAAGTCAAGAGAAATTTCCTGTGATCTTACAATTGAGACTTAAGGTCACTTTAACCTCAAGCAGGCAGGAATCTTCAGACCACATTTCCAAGATCTAGCCCCTCTTGAATTTTTCAGGTACGGAAATACTTACCTATTTTGCAAGATGGCCCATTCTCTTAAAAGGAATTATAACTTGTTAGAAAGTTCTTTCCTGAAAGCCCAAGTCTCTGAAACATTTATAAATAGAGAATAAAAATCTTATGGAATGACTGAGAGAGAAGGACCTAGGTTTGGGACCCCAAAGATACCAGGTGGCCAGAAAGAAATCCAGACTGTAAAAATATCACCATCCCTTCACTCTCTACTCAGAAACACAGAGGTGCCTATTTTTATCTCCCTTCTAACTGTGGATGTGATAACTAGCACTCTCACGTGCAGCTAGCTAATGAAGTTTTGATTGCTATTCCACCTTCCTGGGATGGTGGTAATGAACAGTTTGATATCTTGGCCCTCACAGCCCAGGGGGCAAAGACAGGTGTTAAGCAATCTGACAGAAGGAGGAAGTAGACAGACCCTGAAACAGAAAATTCCACAAGCCCACCTTTTTAAAAAAGTTCATCTTTTCATACAAGCCCACTCTGTCCCCAGGTTATAAAAGCAGCCAAGCAGAGCCCAGTTGAAAAGACCTTTCCTGCCCTGGCTGGTGTGGCTCAGTGGATTGAGTGGTGACCTGCAAACCAAATGGTCAACAGTTGGATTCCTAGTCAGGGTACATGCCTGGCTTGCTGGCCTGGTCCCCAGTTGGGGGCAAGTGAGAGGCAACCACACATTGATGGTTCTCTCTCTCTCTCTCTCTCTCTTCTTCCCTCCTTTCCTCCCCTTCTCTAAAAATAAATAAATAAAATCTTAAAAAAAAAAAGAAGAAAACCAAAGGTACAGAGAATAAGTAGAATAGATGGCAGGCACAAAATAGACAGGGGGAGGGCAAGAATAGTATGGGAAATGTAAAAGCTAAAGAACTTAAAACACATGGACATGAACTAAAGGGGAGGAATGTGGGAGGGAGGGGGTATGCAGGATGGAGGGGAATGAAGGGGGGGACATGGGACAACCGTAATAGCATAATCAATAAAATATAATTGGGGAAAAAAAAAAAGAAAACCAGAAACCTTTAAATGAATGAATGAATGAATAAATAAATAAATAAATAACCTTACTGCCTCTCTTGTGCTCAAGCATAAGCCTAATAAAATCTGACCAGGGAGGCTTCTGGTCAAGATGGCTGAATAGGTAGTTGATGTACTCACCTCTTCCCACAAACACTTCAAAATCACAACTAAAATACAAAACAACCATCATTCAGAACCTCCTGAAACCTAACTAAACAGAAGTCCTATAACTATGGATATGATGAAGAAGCCACTACAAGACTGGTGAAAAAGGTAAAGTTACAGAACAAACTGGTTACCCACCCACGTGTGGCAGTCAAAGGTCACAAAGGGCAGGTTGTCTGTGGAGGTCTTCCCTTGTAACTGGGCAACATGCGGTCCAGCCACTTGTTGCCTCCATGTGTAAGCACAGAACAAAGATTTGTGGGATAAAGAAACAGGTTTTTACCAACAGGGTTCCCAATCTGAGGGGGCTGGGAGCATTCCTGCTCCGAGCTCACCAAGCCAACCTTTCCCGCAAAGCACAGAAAACCAGTCACCCTCAGGAAGATTAATGTTCAAATCCATGTCTAGAAGTTGCCCATTATTGCTTATCTGTAGCCCAAGGTTGCTACTCAACTAGGTCTCCATCTCTACAGCTCTAGGCTTTCTCTCTCTCTCTGAAGCCAAGATGGCCATCACTGCATAGCAGCTTGATCTCTCTCAGGGTCTAGGATGTGCTGCCAGAACACTCCAGATAGTCATGCAGGGGAAGCTCCATCCACAAGGAATTTCCCAGCTCAGGCCTCTGTGAGCTAATCTCAGAATGAGAAAGAGTAGAAGCAGCTCAGGACCTGTATGCCATGCTGCAATGGGTTGTAGCATATCAAGGGCTGGAGCCCAGTGAAGGACACATCCCAGCAAGAAATTCTGCCTCCCGAAGCTGGCTTCCAAACATACAAGGCATAATAAGCCCTAAGCACTCTCCAACCAGGGGGTGTGAAGCAAGCAAGAGGGGCCATGAAGACAAAAGGACAAAAGGCCCAGAGGCCAAGAGCCAAGAGTGAGCTTCTGCCCACCTTCTGTTTAAAAGGCTTTTCCCCAAATCCCATATAACTGAAAACCAGTGGGAATGTCCAAATTTTCAACCAATAAGCGCCAGTTTCAGCCATATTTGCCTTTTCCCCTCTTCCAGCCGACATGTTTATTAGCAAGGGGGCAAAGTCTTGAACCATGCATACTCTGTACAAGCTCTTTTCTGCTGAGTCACAAGCTCCTTGTCTGCCTTGGAGAATCTCCCACTGGAGCGTAAGCTGCTTTTATTCTTCTATTCCACCGTGGGGTTTTTTCCCTCCCTGCATACTGCCTTCTCCAGCAATTTGTACTGACTACTCACTTCGTTACACCCTGAGGAGTGAGGTATCCCAGCCCCACATTATGCATCCCCCCCAAATAGGGTTCCACTACTAGGAAGAGCACTCCCCATAACTTCTGGCTGTAAAAAGCAAAGATTGTGGCTGAGTGAGGCTGAGAAGTCCTAGTGTCCCAAGGTGTTCCTCTTAAAGGGCCTGTGCATAAACTTGCTGATGATCTCACTCTTTCCGAGCTCCAGTGTTGAGGCAACACTCAAAACATTTCACATGGGGCCCTGGATGGTGTGGTTCAGTGGACCGAGTGCCAGTCTGCAAACCAAAGAGTTGCCCGTTCGATTCCCAGTAAGGGTACATGCATGGGTTGCAGGCCAGGTGCCCAGTAGGGGGCGTTTGAGAGGCATCACACATTGATGGTTTTCTCCCTCTTTTTCTCCTTGCCTTCCCCCTCTCTAAAAAATAAATTAATAAGATTAAAAAAAAAAAAGTTTTCAGCCCTGCCTGGTGTAGCTCAGTGGATTGAGCGTGGGCCTTTGAACCAGAGGATCATGGTTCAATTTCCAGTCAGGGCACATGCCTGGGTTGCAGGCCAGTTCCCAGCAGGGGCTGCTTGAGAGGCAACCATACATTGATATTTCTCTCCCTCTCTTCTTCCTTTCCCCTCTAAAGATAAATAAATAAGAAATCTCAAAAAAAGTTTTCATATGGGTACACAGAAGGAGGAACTGAATTATCTGGCTTCAGTATAAGCATTGGAGGGGCTGCTTCCTCCCAGAAGTGCTGCCAGAGGCCACTGTTCTTTTGCTGAGCCCTCCCCACATAGAAGCAGCAGGCAGACACCATATCTGAGTCTCCATCAATCTAGCTCACTGTTCTCC